TTTAAATGGCATCTTTGCATAACGGCATAATTTAGGAGATGTCCGAAAAAACAAAAAACGTAAATAAAAAATGTAAACATGTCTTAGGAACGGTATTGCAGAAATTTTAAAACCTTGACTTTTGCAAACCGCAGTATAGCTTCAAAACAGTTGTCGTCCCATGCCTAGATATGAAATATATTAGTTTTTTGCCCCTGCCTATAGCAAATGCGTGACTGTCGTCTGTGTGTGATAGTCTTACAAGCCAATTGAGTGAGGTAACTTTCATTCTGTCCAATTAGAATTGCACAATCGAGCTATGCGGAATGCCCACAATAAAAAAAAGAAACCAAAAAGGAAAGTGCGGACAAGTAAGATAATAGCGTCTGCTTCTTCAAAAGCATTAAAAGGCAAATAATTTCAAAGAAAAACATGGGAAAATTTTGGCTTCAAAGTCACAGACACCTAACAAAAATAGGTAATTTTTAAGAGCGGTCACAGAATTTTTGCCACGACTTACAGATTATGCAGTTAAAGCTTGATTACAAAATTAAAACGCAAATAAAAAAAATTAAATTATATATATATATATATATATATATATATATATATATATATATATATATATATATATATAAAATATATTTTTTTAAAAATTGCAATTAAATATTATCCCCAAATCAGACAGCTCTAGTGCCCATTCATTGCACAGTGGGTGAAATTAAATAAAACCCACAGCTGAAGCATCTCTCACATAGACTTGGACTCAAAGTGTGAACGTGAATGAAGAACGCCGGCGGTGGTCAGCTGAGACAGCGTGGCAGGTTTTGTTCTGGTTTAATGAAGCATGGCATCACATGATGCCAACGCGGACTACACGCTGCCTATATCAGATCGTATCGCAGCTTGATAAAAATCTGCCTGCACCTCACCATCACCAGAATACACAACCCAACACCCCAAACAAGAGACTCTGTACACCCATCAACAGATCCAACACCTGATATCCCAGCCCGTCTTATTTTCCCACTCTAGTAATGCTGTTCCCATCCAATAGCGGTAAGCTATCCTTTAAGAAGCATGCAGAAATTCCCATGTGCTTCTGTAAGCACTCTGCATGCAGTCGGAGAAGAGACAAGATAATGCAATCACTCCATTTAGAGCTTTTAGGAGAATAGCCCGACCACGAACACATTTCACATCCACACTTGAGAATGATGGATGGACAACTCTCAAAGTGATAATCAGCGTTTCCTCTCACATATCAGCTTATCTTGTAGAGGGAGGCATTGTGTACCTCAAAGCAGATTACAAAACATCTCGACCCCGTCCCTTTTTCCTTGTCCTGTACAGAATGTACGACGGTGGTAGTCAGAGAGGTGCTGTTCGTGAATGATTATTTGGTGCAAATGGGACAGATGCATTTCATAGCTTGACCTAAATTCACAATGGCTTTTCAATGTAGCTTTGGATTCCAGTGAAGACAAATATCTGTACATACAATAGAGCTGACCTACATCTGTACAATTGTCTGGTTTTCTAATAAAACAGACAGGACGACCTTAAAGGGATAGTCTGTCCAAAACAATAAAAGTCCTGTCATCATTTCTTCAACCTTAATACTTTTTTGTTTGTTCCTTCTGCCAAAAAAGCTGATGTTTACATTTACCATCAAGCACCATAAAAACTATTCACGCAAGGGTGAGTTTAGTTTGACATCTAACACCCTCAACAAATAATAACTTGAAAACGAAAACACTGTTATCAAGAATCGGGTTTCAAACCCATATGCATTTCTTTCTTCCATGGAACACAAGACATGCAAGGCCTCGGTTACCCTTCACTTTCCGTGTACAGGAAAAAATATGCAGTGAAAGTGGCAAACTGTTCTTCGCAGTCAAAAGGAAGTCATGCAGGTTAACATTAACTTGATGATGCGTAAGGCTTCATATGCACTCATATAGATCCGTTTGACGTTCTCAGCATCTGATTTTACATGCATTTTAAAGATGCTCTCCAAGTGCTGTCATTTAAAGAATCTCCTATTACGCCAAAGTCTGTGAAAACGACTGCATTTAAAAATGATGATTCATGTTGTGGCACATTTTGTACCAAAGTATTGCTAGGGATAGGGTGTATGTTACTTTGTGCAATCTTTATTCATATTGCATTTAAGCAAACTAATGAAAATGCACTTGCACAAATGCAATCCTGCAGCAAAGCATGTGTCAATTTGCATTTAAGGCAAATCATGAAATGCTGACTGTCACTTGGGGCAAATTCATAACTGATAAGTAGGGCCAGATTTATTTTGCTGAATTATTTTGGGAGTATCATACCTAAAAACTTCATATATGAAATAAAAAATATATTTTTTAACATTTATTTAATGCTTACAATGCAAATCCATCTAGATCAGACATGTCCAAACTAGGGCCCGCAGGCTAAAGTTGGCCGATGGTAACCCCTTGATTTACCCCCCATGGCATCTGAGAATGGTTTAGAGATCATATTCAAATTAAATGCAACCGTATATTTGTTTGTTTCATTGCTAAGCTTAACAAAAACTATCTATAATTAAATGTTTCAATGTAAACGATGTAAATGAATCAGATTTAGTTTTAAAATGTACAATGCAGAGACTCTGGTGAGTGAATCAAGTCACGGGCAGATTCTGCTTGACTAGTGTATTCTGCATTGAACTCCACTGTGTTATAAATTTGATTGTTTTTATTGCAATAAGTTCTAATTAAAAAGTTATACTGCATCAGTTAATAAGTATTTTTTTCTATTTATTTTTTAAAATTATTAAATTAATTAGGAAATAAGGAATTATTGTATTTTAATGCTAAATAGTTTGGTATATTTATCTTTGGCCCTCGGCTGTCACTGATATTTGGTTTTTGGGCCTTTCAACAAAAAAAGTTTGGAAACCCCTGAACTAGATTCACTGATTTGATGAAAAAAGCAAGTCTATCATATAATATATCTACATAAAGACAGAAAGTATGACTTTACACACTGTGTTGTAAATAAGTCATATGAACATTTTTATATTTGTTAATAATATTACCGAAATTAATAAAAAAAGTAAGGAATTATTGTATTTTAATGCTAAATAGTTTGGTATATTTAACTTTGGCCCTCGGCTGTCACTGATATTTGGTTTTTGGGCCTTTCTACAAAAAAAGTTTGGAAACCCCTGAACTAGATTCACTGATTTGATGAAAAAAGCAAGTCTATCATATAATATATCTACATAAAGACAGAAAGAATGACATTACACACTGTGTTGTAAATAAGTCATATGAACATTTTTATATTTGTTAATAATATTACCGAAATTAATAAAAAAAAACTAAATATTTATAAGTTTACACACATTTACACAAGTAAATAGACTCCGTGCATATAGTAATAGTATAGTAATCCGTGTGGGCCTTGTGATATGAAATAAAATGATCATGCCAGTAAGATAAAAAAAAAATTTAAAAACGCCTACTATCTCATCTTCATTAGTGAGCTATGCATAAGATGATTTTAGCTTTTCACAACAAATCAGTGCACAAGAAACTTTTTGAAATCTCTGGGGCGTGATTGGAGAGCATTTTTTTTTTTTTATCCAGATTAATTCAGACTTGCATGCTCTAACCAGAGATGCCCAAACTAATGCCCGCGGGCCACAGTTGGCCCATGTTAACCTTTGATCTTGCCCAGCATCCCATTTGAAAAGAGAGGGTGAATGTTGAAAAGGTGGTTGGCCTTTGACAGAGATTATTTTTTTGATTTAAACCTAACCCCTTGCTTTTTTGTTTTATTGCTGAATTACAAAAAAAGCCAACTGAAATTAAATTATTCAAATAAATACTGTAAATGAACCAGACTGTCACTTGACAAAAAATAATGCACAAGACATCGGCAAGCAAATCAAGGCAAAGGCAGGAGCAGGTCGACTAGTGTTTTCGGCATCGAACTCGAATATGTTATAATTGTGATTGTTTTTATTGCAATAAGTTCATTATAAAATGTAATAAATTACACAGCCTTCACTAATATGATTTAAAGCAACGTGTCTAGTTATTTTTAAACATTTGAGAATAAATAAGGAAATGACCTACAGCAAATGTAATGTAATACGGAGTGATATATTCGGTTTGGTATAAATCCCTCAATCAAGTTTGGCACAATCAGGTTTGTGCACCCTTGGTCTAAACAACAGAACTTGCATGTTTAGAAAGACTTCCCTTTACAACTGTTTCAGTTTTAACTAAAAACCCCCTTTCTAATTCAGTTCCAAAACAGAAAAAAACAATGACTGGTGAGGCTAAATGATGACAGAAGTGACATTTTAGGGCGGACTACCCCTTTAAGAGAGCATTCCGTTCAGCAGCATAATGGCATAAGAGAGCCTTTTGTCTTATTAATACATTTAAGAACAATGCCAACTTCACAACGACGGATAGACAAATCCCCACTGCAGGTTTAGCAATGACTACTAATGTTCTACAAAATCTCCCTGAGTGAGTCTCTGCAAGACCCTGTCCCTGTTGACAAATGAAGAGTGCTACAATAGACATGAAGTCTATTCTAGATGATGCAGGTCAATGTTTAACTGCATGCACGTTACACATTACATGGATGAGCTAACATTCGTGGCGTACTTTCTCAAACGTGATGGAAACTCTCACACTTCACACTTTTAGTGACACATGTGGAATATGCATGTGTCGAAAGCTTTGATAAGACTATCTCGCACAATTTCTTATCAGATCAATGGCTGAGCTGACGGCGAGAGAAACGTGTCGGTGTTGACAAATAAACACACAGCGAGTTACTGTTAAAGTGTGAATTTTTAGAAGTCGCCTGTCTTAAATATTTGCATAAGAGTGGTCATGTGGTGGTCACCATCGCACTGATAAGTAAATGAATGAACACATACTACTGTACTGTAACTCTACGGAGCATTTGACTTCGGTTGTAGGATGACTGAGATATGGGTATTTTAGTGTTGGCAAACTCACCCCATGTGCCGGCGGAGAGAAGAAGCGCGTGCAGATGTTTTTAATCTTCATTTACAAAGTTTACATGAGATTCCTTAATTCCTGATGGCTTGGTCGAGTCTTCAAGGATCCGTTCGCGAGAGCTCCAGAAATTCAACAGATTTAATAAAAGTCAAAACTTTTGCGGAGTGACTGCTGCATATCTGATCACTAATACAGCCATGGCTCGGATAAACATTAAAAAAAAGCGAGATAAACACTCTTGGTTTGAGTTAACGACGCAGCAGTTACTTGTATTTCCCGTTTAATTCACAGATATGTAAAATCCACGCGCTCGTCGACAAGCAGCAGCCTCTCTCGATCTGAACAGGCGACGTAATACACGCGCACACACACACTCGCGCGCGCGCACACAGAACACAGCGTGCAACGCAGGATGGCTGGGTAATGCTTTTACACCCCTTATCGCGTAATTACATATGTAACCAAAACATATATAATTATTACAGACAGTCGCAAAAAGACGTTTTAACCGCTCGAAGAAGGTTTGCAGGATCAAAATGTCACATTTATGGTAGTATTTTAGTTTCTTTCTCCCCAGGGTAGAAATGAGGTCCAGATGTTGTTTTTTTGGTTCCACCTCCTCACTTCCTCTCAGCTCTTAGTTCTTGGGTGTTTTACTTTATGTTTTGCATGTTGTTCACATTTTATGTTTTCCTTAGAACAGCATGTTTCTAATCACCTACTAATTTTCACTTCATTTTAGTGTGACTCAAATGTTTTCATTTTTATGCTTTTTTTTCCACAACAATTGCGCCTAAATGATTTATAATATGAGGCATTCTGGTGGTCGTCAAGCATCAAGAGATTTGGGATTGCGATTGCTATCTCAATTGGCCACATAGACCTGCATATGGCTATGCAATAGACATAAATCAAGTCTCTTCCCATGCCATATTGACAAAATTAGTTTCCATGATGATGTAGGATATTCGGTCATGTAAGCATATACAGTGACATGGAATCTGCATGCACTTTTTGTGAATTAGAGAAGAACTCAATAATAAAACACCTGTATTTTTGAATGCACATATACCCAAATATTTTGGTTTGATGTTGAATATTTTATATTTAAACTTAAAAAAAAAATCTTGCAAAGATATTTGTTGACATACAATAATAATAATAAAAAAACTTGAAGCAAAATGTGTTTATTAATTTAATGAATATATAAGGCAAATACAATGTACACAATAAATAGTCCAATAATAAACATTTATTTGTTTAAAATTAAGCATTATATGGAAACCCTAAAAGACATTATAAATAAAAAAAAGCTATATAAGGATGTATGCAAAGGCATGTTACTAATCGCCTACTCATTTTTACTTAATTTAAGTGGGGCTGATTTTTTTTTTTTTTTTACACTTTTTTTTTTTACAGGAATTACACAAATGTTTTAATCAGATGGGGCATTCTGGTGGTCGTCAAGCATCAAGAAATTTGTATTGCCACAGAGGCCTACATATGGCTATGCAATAGCTATAAATCAAGACACTTCCCACGCCATATTGACAAAATTGGCTTCCAAGATGATGTAAAATCTTTTGCTGAACACCCTATGTGAGCATTTAGAAACTGCTGATGTTTTTAATTCATTCATTAGTTGAGTCTCAGGCCTTGTCCTCACATACATTTTAAATAGCATGGTTTTTCTCTTTGTCTGCTCTTCCATGCCCACTGAGATGTCTGTTTTGTTAACAAAACACTTTTTGAAAGTGGTCTCCAAAGTCAATGATTATTTACAGTTATATCAATGATAATGTTTATTCACTGTTGTTCTTTTACTCAAGGCCGTTTGGCCTTAGTCTATGGTGGTTGAGAGCGCTTAATGTGCTGCAATTTAAGAAAACACATGCAAACACAAAAAAATGACAAATCATCCATTTCACAGCAAACGTGCTTCAAATCCTCACAAATGCGCTGCATTTTCCACATCGCAAACAAATCAATGAAATGCGCTGCATTTTTCCCAACGCAAACAATTTATGAAAACGTGCTGCATTTTCTCACAACACAAACAATTTACAAGAAAGTGCTGCATTTTCTTACAACACAATTTACGAAAACGCATTGCATTTTCTCACAACGCAAACAATTTACGAAAATGAGCTGCATTTTCTCACAACACAAACAATTTACGAAAATGAGCTGCATTTTCTCACAACGCAAACAATTTACGAAAACGTGCTGCATTTTCTCACAACGCAAACAATTTACGAAAACGTGCTGCATTTTCTCACAATGCAAACAATTTACAAAATCATGCTGCATTTTCTCACAACGCAAACAATTTACGAAAACGTGCTGCTTTTTCTCACAACGCAAACAATTTACGAAAACGCACTGCATATTCTCACAACGCAAACAATTTACAAAAACACGCTGCATTTTCTCACAACGCAAAGAATTTACAAAAACGTGCTGCATTTTCTCACAACCCAAACAATTTACGGAAACGCGCTGCATTTTCTCACAACGCAAACAATTTACGAAAACGCACTGCATATTCTCACAACGCAAACAATTTACAAAAACACGCTGCATTTTCTCACAACGCAAAGAATTTACGAAAACGTGCTGCTTTTTCTCACAACGCAAACAATTTACAAAAACACGCTGCATTTTCTCCCAACACTTTCAAAATATCATTTTTTAAATATATTTAAAGGGGACTCTAAAACATGATTACATGACACAATATTGGTTGATTGCAAAGGGATGAAGAGCGGGGGGTGGGGACTGGCGATCGTAAAGTGCCTGCTGAGAGGGGCTCCTCAGCCAATGAGGGCAGAGGGGCAGTGGCTCTCGCCACTGGGCCACCCCCCTGTGCACGGCCCTGACGTTAAGCTCTCTCGGCCACCGTATGAGTCAGTTCTTTTTGTTCCTTTGGAGGTTTTAAATTGTGTTTGAGCGAGCATTTACACAAGGTTACTTCTGGTTATCTACATTACCTTTCGCCCATGACAGCAAGAAACATAATATCATCTAATTAACCCTAATGTAAGATTGCATGTGCTCAGGTATTTAAATGGTATGTCTTGAATAGCATCTGCTTATATGTAAACCACTTTTGCTGAGTCACAACAATGTACATTTAGCGGTTTATTTTCCTTCTTTCCCAAACTCCATTAATGTATGCATTGATATCTGGCGGTATCAAGCTTTCTTTTTTCATCTTGATAAACATGTTTCGCCTCAGGTGCGTGCTGATTTGGTCTAGGCTTGTTTGTCACTAGAACTGTGTTGTATCGTGTTCACACAGGGAGGGCAGGTATGAATCATAAGAGATTTGCTTCATCAAAAGCTGATTTTTAATCCAAGCATTCTGGTGTCAAGAGCCCATTTATAAAAGTCAGTCCCATCTTAATTAGGTCCATGTGCTTAATTACATCCATTTGTGCTGATAAGCCCCTCGAGCATGTATGGAAATCAGTGACTCATAATGGATAACGACATATTCACCTCAAAGTGTGATTCCCATTTCAGTTTCAACAGGAAAGTGTGAGAGGATTTCAACACTTTGAGATGTAAATTGTTAAATGTGCATGAATAAAATTCACTGTATTTCTTTAACAGCTAGGATTCAGAGGTTTCAGTCATTAGCTCAATAAAAAAAAAGATCATTCTTTACCATCAATTGTTTCAGGAACATTTCAGAAACACAAAATAATTTTTAATAGATTAAAAAATAGACTTTTAATAGATTAAAGGTCTGTTCAAGATGATAATTATAATAACAAAACAGTTTTACAAATCATTCAAAGTTTTTTTTTTTTTGTCTCGCAATATATGAACTTAAAAACGACATTTTTGTCAACTACCTATAGTTGGTCTATAAAGGTCTGTAGACTAATGCCCTTTTGTGCAGTTTTATACAAAAGATTAATTAAACAAAGTCATCATAGCCAGATGTATAGTCTCAAATATATATTATAAAAATGCTGAGGTAGTTTAACCCAACATTGTGTTTATTTTTTTTATTAAATTTAAATGACTTTTTTTACCCCAATTGTTGGCTTTGTCCATATTTGACCCCATGCTGGGTTAAAACAGCTCAACATTTATTGAGAGTACTTTATAATCAAACTGTCATCTATTTTTTACTACCTCATCCGTCAACATGATCAGGGAATTGCAAAGCTTGTGCAAACACATTCATATTGAGAGGAAAGAGCTCGGCGCATATTTACATATTCATCTAGCAGCGTGGATGACAACTGGATGTTCATTTTAAGTATACTGCTGCAAGGTATTTCAAACTTCTTTTATTATTATAAATAATGAAAATCAACATTGTTGGGAGCATTTCAAGGAAATGGAATCACATATCTTGTATTGATGCACACAAGTTCAATCACGAGCAATAAAGTGTGACTGCAGTTTACTATGACCACCAGTATACATTCATTCATTCATTTATTTCGGCTTAGTCCATTTATTAATCAGGGGTCGCCACAGTGGAATGAACCACCAACTTATCCAGCATATGTTTTACACAGTGGTTGCCCTTCCAGCTGCAACCCATCACGGGGAAACACAAAATACACAGTCATTAACACCCAGGGGTGGACTGGCCATAGGGAGCACCGGGACATTTCCTGGTGGCCTGACGGTCAATCTGGCCTGTCACCGCGAGTCTGGTCTGCCGCGCCCCCGTTTACCCCCCCACCCTCCGCTCTTCACTTTCTAGATCGCATCAGATGTGGCCTGCCAGCATGACTCTAGCCTGCCGTGCACAACAACCCCAACATCAGTCTAGGGCTGCTCGATTTTGGGAAAAATCGTAATCACGATTATTTTGGTCATAAATGTAATCACGATTTTTCAAAATGATTATCAGTTGAAGTCAAAATTATTAGCGCTCCTGAGAATGAAAAAAAAAATCCTAAATTATGTTTAACAGAGCAAGAAATTTTAACAGTATTTCCTACAATATTTTTTCTTCTTCTAGGCTTATTTGTTTTATTTTAGCTAGAATAAAAGCAGGTTTAAATATTTTGAAACCCATTTCAATATCAATATTATTAGCCCCCTTAAGCAATACATATTTCTGATTGTCTGCAGAAGAAACTACTATTATACAATGACTTGCCTAATTACTCTAATTAAGCCTTTGAATTGCACCTTAATCTGAATGCTTGTATTTTGAAAAATATCTAGTAAAAACATTATGTACTGTCATCATAGCATTAATGATAAAAACAGGCGGCAGCAGGAATGTCGCGCTCACTTTAATGGTTTCTCTTTTAGGTGTCTTGATCCACAACTCGTTTGTTTATTACAGAAATGAGCGCTAATATGAATAATCACTAAACACCGTGTT